TTGTTAACTATTTGGTCGTTCCGTGACTTGTGACCAAGTATTGTTGGTGTACTGTGATTGGGAGACGGGTACGGCGGATGGGTCGAAGTGTCTGTGACTATTTATTTGGTCGATCTGTGACCTATGACAAAGTGTGGTGATGGATGGGGGAAGTGTGTTTGGGTGACTGTGACCTAGCTATTGTGGTTCTTTTTGGTGTCTGTGACCTTACTATTGAGCTGTGATTTTGAAATTGATAATTTGTAACTTAAAAATAGAATCTGTGACCTTAATTTTTTTTATCTGTGATCTCGAAATAATTTGTGACCTATAAAATTTTAAATCTGTGACCTCAAAATAATCTGCGATCTACAAAATTTTTTATCTGTGACCTCGAAATAACCCGTGACCTACAAATTTTTTGATCTGTGACCTCGAAAAAGTCGCCGGATCGGAGCAGTCGCCGATCGCCAGAGTAGTAGCTGGAGTAATGGGGGGGTGGTGTGGTGGGGTGGGGTGGGTTAATTTTATTATATTACAGTTAAATATTTAATTTAATATAATAATTCTGAAATATAATTAATTAATTCAAGAAAAACCTGAGTTTTGTAAATTAAAATTTTGGGACCTGATTTTTAATTTCATGAAAGTAAACCCCTGAACCATAAACTTTTCCCGCCAGAAAATCCAAGCTCGAAGAAGATGGGTCATTCCAACTGGCCTTTATTTCTAGTATTTTTGTGCTAGTTGGACTTCTTAGACAATTTAATCTAAGTGGAAATTATATAAAACCAAAATTTTAAAGATTCAATTTCAAAAATTAGATTAAAAATTTCATTTTACAAAAATCAGATATTTTATTTTAAATATTAAATATTAATTGTACAATTTTCATTCCAAACCCTAATCAATTTCATTCCAATTTTCCTCCTACATCTCTCTTCTCTCTCTATTCTCTCCGTCACTCTCTCCTTTCACCGTCACTCTCTCTACTTTCTCTCTTTTCCACTCTCCACTTTCCTCTCTCTTCGCCTATAGCCCAGCCTCCATGACATGGAGGGAGCAATTCTGCTTGACGGTGATGATTCAGTAGCTGGTGTCATGAGGGGGATTATGGAGGTAAAGGCCGTGGTGGATGTTATGATCGTCGTAAGGAATACCACAAACTCATCTTTTCGCCGCTGCCACCACGCCCGCTATTGTGCGCATCACCGGTGATGATTGAAGGTGCTTCTATCGTCTCTAGTCGCTCGATGCTACTGTTATCTATGTGTGGATAGGTGGTAGGGGCTTGTTTGATCGGCCAATCAAGATGTTGGATGTTTTGATCGACCAATCAAGATGTTGGATGTTTCAATTGGTTGTGGGAATTGATGTTGTTGGTATAGTTTTAAGTTGGCGGTAGGGAACTTTGTGGATTGAGAGGCTAAGGCTAATTGGTCGACTGTGCTAGATCTCTGGTTTGCGATTGTGGTGTTGTGGGTACGGTTATGGTGATGTGTGATGTGGATGCTATGCCATGTACGGTGTTGTGGTTAGGTGCAGTGTTGTGTGTGGTCGTTGTGCAGTTATATGTGTCGTAGGTGCGGTGTGCTATGTGGGGTGGTGGCTCGGCGTTGTGCAGTGGTGCTGACCGGTTGTTGTGAGGTTGTGGTGCGACAGGTTGTTGTGAAGTGGTGGTGTTTTTATGCGATGTATTGATCTGTTTGAGATGTTGTTACTGTCGAGAGGTGGTGGTGGTGGTTCGGACAGCGGTGGTGGTGGTGGTGCTGATGGGAGTGGTGAGGTGGTGGTCACAAGTGTTGGTTGTGGTCACAGATTATTTGGTTGTTTGTGACTATTAAATTAATTAATATGTGACCGATAAATAATATTCGGCCAATAAAAAAGATAAATTGTGACCAAGAAATAATGTGTGACCTAAAAAATTGTTAATTTGTGACCGATAATTTGACAATTTGTGACTATATACTAAGTTGCGACTTGTAATATTTGTGATTTGTGATCGATGAATGAGTTGTGATGTATAAATTTTTTTATTTATGACCGATGAACAAGTTGTGACTTATAAAATTTTTGAATTGGGATTGTAAAATAATTTGTGATTTATAAATTTTTTGATTTATGACCGATGAACAAATTGTGACATATAAAATTTTTGAATTGTGATCGTAAAATAATTTGTGACATTTAAATTTGTGATTTGTGACAAATTAATAATATGAAACCAATTATATAGAATTTGTAACCAAATTTTATGTAATTTTGATCTTAATATATTTAATTAATAAAATATATGTTTAATTAATTAATTTATAAAGAAATTTTTTTAAAAAAATCAGAGATTTAAACTTTTAAACCTTAATTTTTAAATTTGAAATGGGTGAAACTTAACCTCTTATTTATGAAATTTTCTCTTAATCTAAATGGAGCTGATTGGTGTTAATAGACCATTTCTTGCAGTCCAACATAAGTTAGAATATTAGGTCAATGGGTTGTGCAATGGGTACATAGCATAATATATAAGGGTGTCCATAATGGACACATGGAGGCCCAATATTGGGGAGCTCCCTCGGGCCCAATTAGATTTAATTTCAAGGGGAAATTAGATACAGTACTCTAAAAAAAAAGAATTGATTAATACACTTATAACAAATTAAAAACATTTGAAACTCGGCAAAATCATTTGGGATACAAACAGTTGCACTCCCAATCTAATATTTTTCACTTTTTAGAATATTTATTATAAAAAAAAATTCGTTTAATACGATATTTTACACTACGATTATCCATTTTGAGAGATGCAAAATCTATTAGAAATATTTCAATGTGGCCTAATAAATATGTTATGGACGATATCTAAATGGTGAAAATTATGTCGTATGAAATATTGAACGCAAAATAAACTATAATTACTAAATCCATTTTTTCAAGCCATTTTTGTTTGTTATGATGAACTCGTCGTTTATTGATTTTTAAAATCGAACAATATATTTCAAAGTTTTTTGTGAATAATTTGAAACGATAAAAAAATTCTCACCCGACGATTGAAGAAATATAGCTCATAAATGTCAGTTTTTTACATTCTCATTTTATCATATACCTTAGACACATCAATTCAATTGATTCAAATAAATATGAATTAAATGCAATATTAAAAAATGTTTGAATTGGTATATCTAAATTTTAAAAACACATAAGTATGCATCTAATTAATCGCTCCAATGAAATACTACGACTTTTTCATATCACATTTTTTTTTTCGCAAACACTTTGAATGCATCAATTGAATTGATTCAAATACATATGAATTGAACGCAGGTTAAAACAAGGTTTGAATTCATGTATTTAAATTTTCAAAATGTACGTATGCATCTAATTATTTGCTCCAATGAGATAATAAGACTTTTTATAGCACTTTTTCATATTTATTTTCACCTTAAATGCATCAATTGAATTGATTTTAAAAAATATGAATTGAATGCAAGATTAAAATAAGATTTGAATTCGTATATTTAAATTTATAAAAATACACACGCATGCATCTAGTTAATTGTTCAAATGAGAATCATGAGATACTGCGACATGTTCATAGAAAAGTGTTAGAATGTCACTTTTTTATAGAATTTTCTCACATTCTTATTTTCTTAAATACCTTGAATTCGTTAATTGAATTGTTTCAAAAAAATATGATTTGAATGTAAGATTAAAACAATGTTTAAATTCGTATATTTAAATTTTCAAAAACACACACATATGCAGATAGTTAATTGCTCCAATGAGATACTACGATTTTTTTAAGAGAAAAGTCACATTCTCATTTTAACAAACATATTGGATGCATCAATTGAATTATTATATTAAATGTGATGGAAACTATGGATCTCTTAATATCTATAAATTCAGACCAAGAATGAACTAAAAGGAAAAATCCAGTTGCAAGCATTCCATTGATACTGAGTATTAGAATCCCACAATATTGTTTGGGAAAATATAAATGATCCACTTAATAAGGTAATGGCAATCCTCCCCTAATAAGCTGGTTTTATTAGGTGGAGTTAGGTCCAATATTCTTAATATGGTATCAGAACTAGGTCCAATTATGCAATGTTGGGCGCCACCCAATATCGATTTGTTCACAGTTGTTTGGCATGGTCCCCCCTGTGCGTGAGGGGGCGTATTAGAATCCCACATTGCTTGGAAAAATATAAANAATCCCACATTGTTTGGGAAAATATAAATGATCTACTTAATAAGGTGAGGACAAGCCTCTCCTAATAAGTCGATTTTATTAGGTGGAGTTAGACTCAATATTCCTAACACTGAAATATTTTCACACAACCAGATTCAAACCCAAAATCTAACTAGATATGAAGCATGATCATGTAAATATGCATATAATTCAGGCCAGAAAATGGTGCAATCTTCGAAAGGAAACACAAATACATATAATTAAAATGCTAGAACAAACCAAATTCGACAACAAAAATATCAGATCAACCAACAACAAATGAAAACCACGAAAAGAACCTTCCGGATTTGGGGAAGAAAACTTTGAGAATATGTAGTTGAAGCAAGCAACCCTTGATCTTGTTTGTACTTGATTTATGGAAGACTTCCTCTTTTCCCTTCGATTTTCTTTGATTTCTCTGAGTTTGACAGTGCTGAATTTTGTTTGCTGCTGTGCGTTTAGGTTTGAACCGTAAAAAAATACGTTTCAATTTTAACTATTTCTCATTTAATCAAAGTATGTCATGTTTTTTCAAAATGTCGTGTAAGTACCCCCTAATTTCAACGTCAGAATTTGGTCAGAATTTGATTATTTATCACTTTATTCATTTATTAGATTTAATTAGTCATTTGATATGTAACTCTAATAGAATAAAATTTGGCACCACTCATATTGCTATATTCTCATGCATTTTCAAGCATCGGTTTCAACCGTTTCATTGATTTTATTGAATATTTTACCGAAAGCACTTTTCTTAGATTACTTTACTTTTCTCCTTCATTTGATGTCCTCAATGAGGGAGGGTCATATTGGCAAGTGTCTTCAAATTCAGTGGCCGAATTCGAGTATGCCCTCCAGACCATAAAGCTTTTGCAATGAGCTTATAAGTATGTTCTGAGGGATGAAAGAAATCCCAGAATAAGTACTCATTCGGATTCTTACAAACTGTGTAACCTTCTTTGCCACATTGCAAAAATCCTCCGAGGGTTCCATCCCCACAACATGCATAAGTTACATTTGCAAAACCTGCAGTGTCACAATCTGAAATCTTAGTTTGCCTGCCTTTGACAACATTTATAGAACTGAATGTTGGTGAAATTGAAAGTTGATAGCAAATTTTAGAACAGAAAAGAAACTACGTACCATAGCGTCTTGGATTGGCTCGAAAATCCTGGACAGTTTTGTAGACTTCTCCGAAAACACCAAATGCACCTGGATACTTGATAGCTATACCATTCACCAGTCCCTCCAAACCCTTATTGTAATTCTTGACCATTTTATTCATTTTCCCATAGCATTTAGTGACTGGTGTACCAGGCAAAAGAACCCTTGCTGGAACGCAGCCGACTGGTCCTAATGAAAATACGGCAATCCGCCGGGCACCTAGCTTGCAAATTTGGTCGATAAATTTTCCAACTTCCATCAACATGGACCGGACATAGGCATCTGGCGTGAGAGTTGAGGTACCAAATGGATCAAAATAGGCGAAAATATCGTTCGAACCGGATTCTAACAAGAAAAGGGATTGTTGAATCACAAACTTGCTTATATGCCTATCCTCTGCAAGTGTTCGAAATTGTTCCAGCTGAACCTGGATTGGTGTGACCCCCTGTCAACATCCAAATATATATATCAGTACAATAGGGTATTTCTGATAATTATATTGATAACTAACTAGGTTCCAGTCTAGAATACCGGTTTAGATTAAAATATTACAAATAGGATTAAAAATTGCAGTTTTGCTTCATGTACATAAGCAAAACCAACAGAAATGGGCCACAATACTCACACGTGGGTTCCGCGGAATTTTTTTCCTTTTAAATACACGGTGGGACCCACTCCATCGTGAGTATTCTGGCCCATTTCTGTGAAAATGTTTCTGTATATGGGGAAAAATTCTAAAAATTGAAGTGACTATTCTCGATTTCACTTTTTTTTTAGCATTATTTTCACTTTATTTTGTCACAATACTCGTACCAAACACATGTAGCAAAATTGAGTACCTATACCTTTTTTAGACAAGCGAAAATTTGTTTATACTAAAAATTCCAGAGGACAAATGAGGGTGGGACGTACTTATAACCTTACCAAATCTTTCGCCAATATTTACGATATGAACGAGTAACTCTTATTCATAGGGCCAGATTTGATATATATAGTCGAATTATTATATTCTAGTGACGTTATCGTCGTTGAGAAAATACATAGTACATTGTTGTACAGTAAAGAAAGACGTCTAATTTTTAGGATTTTTTTTTTTTCATTAATCTTCCTGGTTCCTTTAAATTTAATCCAGTGCTCTTATGCAAGCTGTGCAGATCTAGTATTTCTTTTCAGTCTAGAGAGTTACAAGTCTGGCCGGGGCAAGTTTGGTAAGTTGGATTGCAAGATTGGAAATCTCTTTATTACTTATATTTAATCCAGTCTACCAAATAAATTCGCTTGAATCAAGCCTTTAATTTACATACAAAATATTTTATAGTGAGAATGTGTGGTTGAAAATAGGAACGGACCTACATGAGGCCTAGTGGGGGCAATTTCCAGATTTCCCGATTTTTCTTCAGTTTTTAGATTTTTTTATTTTTTTTTGTCCATGTTTTTTTAGGTTTTCAGATTTGGTTTCATTCCCACTGAACTTCCTTCCTAATTCCGCTCCTGGTTGAAAATGAGTTTAAAAAAAAAAAAAAAGTTTGAAGAATGGTAGATAATCAGGTTAGTAATTTCTTTAACTAATAACAGCTTAAATTCTTACCGAATCTAGATTTGTCGCTCGTAAAACTCCGCTTCCAGCACTCGCAAAGTTGAGGCCATTTGATGGGTAACCTTTTATACTGCCATTCTTAATCTCATCCTGTACCTCCAGAAAAGGTTTTTGAAAAGGGAAGCCTATAAATTGAGCTGCAATTTCCCATCCATCAAAATTCAGTCACATAAACAGACAAGGCGTGTTTGGTACATAGCATTCAACAGTCTATACTACAATAAAACATGTTCTAGCAGTGTTTATCTCTCTTCTACACAAGTGTGTGTGTGTGTGTGTGTGCGTGTTTTGAATCTGGAAATCAAAGAACACTCACATATGAAGTCAGCCACAGTCCTGCCATTGGTGAATCTTCCAGTAGGGTGGTGAAAGAAGGATGATCCATAAGGAGGAAAATCAGCCTGAGCAGTGCAATTTTTGTTGTAGTGATTGTTACCAGCATCAAAAATCGAGTCCCCAAAAACGTAAATTGATGGAACATTGTGTCCATTAATTGCAGAAATCAAAAGGCTAAAATGGAGAAGAAGAATAATCAATAATTTCTCCATCTGGGTAAATTCTCTCAATACAGGGTGCAGACCTCAACTTTGGTGTGAGTTCAATGGCCTGTATATCAGCAAAAGAAGGAAAGGTGACGAACGAAAGAGAGAATAAATGACAAAAATTAAACTACTCATACACGAGAGAAACCCCTCCATGGCCCAGAAGCACTGTGTCATCGCACCTAACAGCTGTTTAATTTCAACAACAGTTTTTGTATTCTTCTTCAAATTTCTACCTTTATATGTAATATTGTTTTGCTTTTTGGTTATAACTTTACTTATACATTGGTGTTTGGCCACACAAACTATATATCGTCTAAGCATGTTTGGCAAAGATTTTTCGAGCTTACAAGGTTGTCAAATATCACTTTTAACGACACATTTCTTAAGAATCCACAACTTTTATCTATTTTTAAGTGTGTATTCCTTGATATCTACTTTTTATACATGATATAGGAAACTTGTGAGTGTTTATATTTATATCTTTAATTTGCCTACTTATTGAGTTTACTCTTGTTAAATGTGTGACAAGTGAGATTTTTTTATTTTTTTTTTAAAAAGAAGATAAGCGTTGACGAGACCTGAACGAAAATTTATCCACTTCAATATCAAGTTAATTTCCTGGACTAAAGATAATCACATAAGGGGAGAAGAATTTGTTTATATAAACTTACATCTCCAGGGTAAAATAAGTTATATATCAATCACAATTTTAGAAAAATAAATTTTTGACACTTCAAACCTCTTGGTATGTAGATTTTGATTATTGATTTTTTTAATTTATATTATGAGGAACCAGTGGCAAACCCAGCACCCAGCTGGGGGGCGGCTGTGTGCTGGTTCGTCTTTTTGTTATAAGGTTGAGTTGTTGCTACCAGCCCAGCCTAGCGAACTTTTTCCTTTTTTTTTTATTGGGTTGGCCAGTTGTGCCATTTGTTTTTAGGCCCAGACCATACCTTTTCTTTTCTTTTTTTTATTGGGTTGGGCAATTTATTCTTGGGCCCAGTACTTAATTTATAGTCCAAATTACACAAAACACTACTTTTCAAAATCTATATTCAAAAATCAGATTATAAGTTTAAGTTTTCAAAAATCAGATATTTCATATTTAATTAAATATTATTTATAAAATTTCATCCTAATTAATTTCAACCCTAACCAAACCTAAAATTCATTTCCATCTCTCCTCGTCCCTCTTCTCTCCTCTCCGTCCGTCCATCTCTGTCTTCTCTCTTCTCCCTTACCGACGACGCTGATGCTCGTAACACCTCCCATATCTGTCGGCAATGTCACTTTCCTCCATTGAAGCGACGTCGCAGCCGCCCTCGCGTCGCTGCGAGACCACCACCCCTCTCATCGCCACCTTCTTCTTTTTTTAAGGCGATCGTGAAATGATATGAGTTTAGCTGGATCTGGTGGCGATCTGCCATCCACGGCCTACGGTCGCACTGAAACCCAACTAATTGAAGAAGCAAGTCATTTTCAAATGGAAGGACCAGCTTATGATTTCAGATGTTAAATCTGATAGTGGAGTTTGTTACTAAGGTCGCAAATTTTGGTTTTGAATGTGTTTTGGTCGGATTTGTGTTTTGGTTTTGAATGTGGCGGATATGATGGCGCTATTGTGGTTGACGGGAGGTGCTGGTAGTGAAATGAGAGTTGGAAGTGCTGTATCTGGATTCGGGAGACGGTGTGTGAAGTGGTGGTTTTGCCGTGAGGTTGTGGTGTTGGGTGCTGGGAGGTTGTGGTGTGCATGTGGCGGTGGGTATCAGTCGTGCTGGTGAGATGGTTAAACCGTGACTTAAAAATTTGATAATTTGTAACCTTAAAATTCGAACTGTGACTCA